GTTCACTCCATTTTTATGGATGTTTTGTAGGTAATCAGCCCACGGGACAACCTTAGGTCAACGTAGGAGCCTTTTGCTGGACCCGTTTTGCTGAGTCACCCGAAGTGACTCTTTTGTTTTACTTTTGGGAAATCCATTGATAGCCTGTTTTGTCAGTACTTAGGGAAGTAGATATATGTATATATTGCCAATACTTAACTCTTGGGTTGTTACCCTTTTTTACAAATTCAGTGAATGTGAATGGTGTATGGAATGTTATGTACTTATGTATGGTAATGCATTAAGATCCTAGTATTTAGGCACAACTCAATGAATGTTTTGTTCTACTATAATTTTGCTTCCGTTCAGGCTACAACATTGAATAAAACTTAAGATAACAAAGTTGAGGCCTAAGGTCAGGCCGGTCATGTCCAAACTTTTATGGGCAGGTTTGGGTCGTGACACCAACCCAAGTGTTGCCATCTAGAACTAATATACGCACATAAGTTCTCTTAAGTTTCCAATATGGGATAACCATTTCAAGGAAACCCACTTTTTACTTCTTGAATTGTCCATTCCACGAACCCGAAATCGACATCAACTTCCTATTCACTCATAAATGGTTCTGACGAACCGTTTTCAATGTGTGACTTGCCATGCGGTAAGGAACACGTCACCTCTTTGGACCCAACTCAAAAGACATGCGGACCCACTCAAATTTGGGCTCAAAGTTGGCCTAAAATAAACCTATAAAAACCAAATTTCCAACACTTGATGGCTTAAATCAAGAGTGAGACTGAAGTACCTTTTTATAGCTAATTAAAACACACTGTGATGACAAGTGCATTCTTAAAGACAATTAATGTGACAATTAACCATTAAAAGGCTTAAAAGATTCTTTGTTTATCATCAATGCTTCTCCAATAGATTTTTTTCTTAAATAAAAGAATCCCTATGCATATTTTGATGGTCATTGCTCTCATTCCTTTCATAGTTTTTAGTAGAATTTCTCTCTTACTTTTGTTGGATTGACTGGTTATTACTCTCACTGTTTTATAAATATGCACAAAAACAACTTATCACAGACATAAAAATGCACAAAGAATAGATTATATATACTTCCCAACAAGATGCTGAAAACTCATATTGTTTGGTTTGGTTTGATTTTGAGAAATAAATTTTGGAGAAAATTTTGTTTGGTTTAGTAATTTTGGAAAAAAAATTTCAAAATCGCTCTCCCCTACACATCAATCAATCACTTTTTCTCACTCATCTTTCCTTCTCAATCACTTTTTCTCTCACACACATCTATTCAACTACAACAAAATATCAAATCATCCCAAACTCATACTCCAAAACTATTTCCAAAATATACAACCAAACAAAGCAAAAAAATTTCTAAACTCTCTCCCTAAATTTTTTTTTGAAAATTTGTCTCTCAAAACCAAGCCAAACACACCCTATATATATTTCCGGTTTATATGATTAATATGAACATCGATTTTACATGCAGCCATACGATGAATAGTCTAATTGACAAATTTCAACCTGTACCTGATAGGAACAAGCCAGATTTTACAATGTGACAATTAACCATTAAAAGACTTAAAAGATTCTTTGTTTATCATCAATGCTTCTCCAATGGATTTTTTTCTTAAATAAAAGAATCCCTATGCATATTTTGATGGTCATTGCTCTCATTCCTTTCATAGTTTTTAGTAGAATTTCTCTCTTACTTTTGTTGGATTGACTTGTTATTACTCTCACTATTTTATAAATATGCACAAAAACAACTTATCACAGACATAAAAATGCACAAAGAATAGATTATATATACTTCCCAACAAGATGCTGAAAACTCATATTGTTTGGTTTGGTTTGATTTTGAGAAATAAATTTTGGAGAAAATTTTGTTTGGTTTAATAATTTTGGAAAAAAAATTTCAAAATCACTCTCTCCCCTACACATCAATCAATCACTTTTTCTCACTCATCTTTCCTTCTCAATCACTTTTTCTCTCACACACATCTACTCAACTACAACAAAATATCAAATCATCCCAAACTCTCATACTCCAAAACTATTTCCAAAATATACAACCAAACAAACCAAAAAAATTTCTAAACTCTCTCCCCAAATTTTTTTTTGAAAATTTGTCTCTCAAAACCAAGCCAAACACACCCTATATATATTTCCGGTTTATATGATTAATATGAACATCGATTTTACATGCAGCCATACGATGAATAGTCTAATTGACAAATTTCAACCTGTACCTGATAGGAACAAGCCAGATTTTATAGTAGTCCCAAAACACAATCTATGTCTGAGTTTTTCACCTTGCTTCTCTTTTAGACATAAAATAAAATCTGACCTCGCATTGGCTCCATGGTGCTCACACACCTTACTTCTAAGGCCATATATGAGCTGAGCCGAAACAAAAACTTGGCTTGACAACTTAGCGAACTTCAAAATGTATTTAAGCTTACTTGTTTACATAACAATTTGATTTCAAACAACTGACCCTGAGTTGAGCTTAAACAACATAGTTTTTTTATTTTTAAAATTGATTTCATTTTTAAGCACAACATAGCTTCATGTGCTTACAATAGTTTATTTTATTTTATTTATTTATTTATTTTTAATTACTATATTATTATCATTTGATTTTGGCTGATATATGTATTAAACATAAATTATGGAAGCTCATAGTTGGAACTATAAAAAGGCCCAAGTACTTTGGACTTATGTTGTTTGTCATTTCCCTTCAAATATATTGCGAAACAATTTAGGCAAAAGATGATGCATAGTCAGGTGTAACACCAACAATTAAAGCAGCTATGTGATTCATATCTATGGAACACACATTATTTTCATAGTATCATCGTTGGGCATATTGTCAAACACATAGTGAGCACAATATAAAATTGTAGTAGTTCAATCGAACACCAACAAAATAGAAATCCATATATAGAAAACTTCATATATAGAAACTCAAACAACAATCACAAAACACAAAAAGATATAAAAAAATTACAGAAATTAAGATCAGAAACTTCATATATAAAACTCTGATACAGAGTTTGAAGTAATACAAAGTTTAGAAATCAGAGTTTACTTGGTCCCTATACATTTAGAAATCAGAGTTTCAGAGTTTTAAACTTCGTATATATCAATAATTTTAACAGTTTACAGAGTACTGACCTAGGGTTTTCGATACCAGTTGAGAGAGAACTCGGAAGAGAAGTGAATCGACAACCGAGACTTCACTGATTATATAACATGAATTGATGATGAAATCTTCCATTGATTGAAGATTGTGATCTAGAAAATGATGAAGAGAAAGAAAAAGAGACCATCAGATCAATATTGTAAATAATATGTCTGTATAGGCGGAGAGAGAGAGAGAGAGACGCACCAAAATTTGATGAAGATTGAGCTCCCAATCTGCCATGGATTCTTTCAATCTGCCATGGATTCTTTCAATCTGCCTTGAAGCTCCCGACTTTAGGGTTGAAGATTGAGCAAAGCCGTTGAAGAGAGAATGAGCAAAGCCTGTGGATTGTGTGAGGGCCCGACTTCTTAACGGTTAAAATGATAAAAATATTTGGTCTCAAAATATTTGTTTTAATTGGTAATGAATATTTGGTCCCTAAAATGAATATTTGGTCCCTAAATATGTTAACGACAGGGAAAATTAGGCCTCATTTTGGAACCCTTCTTTTTAATTAAAAAGTTATTAAGGGCTCGTTTGAGAACAGGCTAATTTAATAATTTTTTACTTATTTGACTAAAATATGAGCTAAAAAAAATTAAGTTGTTTGGGATGAACTTTTTAATTTTTTACGAAAAAATGTGTAAAGAAATAATATAAAAAAATGGAAGTTTGAAACTTGACATTTTTGCCCTTGCACGGAAATCGAATCCTGGGAAATAGAGACAGATGCAGCTACTGTCCGTTGTAGCTGCCCGTTGGAACTTTTAACCAATATTTAATTTATTTATTTTTTTTTATATGACAATGTACTGTACACTTTTTGACTCATGTGTAACCAATGTCAAAGTATCACACGTGGCCACATATGTAATTGGAAAATCAGATTCCTGGGTTTCTATTGTGATGTATTGTTTAATTAAATTTTTTTTTTTGTGTTCTTTTTTTTTTGGGTTTTTGTTTTTTTTTTAATTTCAGGATTTTGATACCAACAGATATGCAACATGTAGGCCTTGTTTGGTTCAAAATTGGAAAAGAAATGTAGGGGACATAATTTACAAATATTATTTGGTTTACTGGTTTTGCAAAAAAAAATTCAAAATCATTTTCTATGTCCTACACATAAATCAATCATTTTTTTTCTCCGCTTTCCTTCTGAATCACTTTTGTCTCTCACACACATCCACTCAAGTACAGACTAATATACAATCTTTTTAAATTCTCACACTGGGAAACTATTTCCAAAATATAAAACCAAGCAAACCAAAAAAATTTGTAAATGTTTTCCCCAATTTTTTTTTCCTTTTTTTATAAATTTATCCCCCAAAACCAAACCACACACACCCATACTTTCAAAAATTCTCAATTTTGTAAACTTGGTAAATTTTCAATTTTTTTTAAAAAAAAATTGACATAGGTGTGCGGTCCACATACATGGTAATTTCTTTGATGTCCACAACATTTTCGAAAACAAATTTTGTAATGAATAACATTGACACTTTTGTTGGTAATGTTTGTGGTGTTATAGATGAAACTTGGAAAAGAAAATTTTAATTATTGTCAATTTGCAATATTGAAAGTAGTTTATTTGAAGATTTTTCAAATACATTAATTTTTTTATTTTATTTCTGAAATACTGATTTTTATTTTAGTTGGTTGAAGACAATTTTGTGCCATGTTTTTTACGTGATGTAATTGGGCACAATTATAGACTTTACAGTTAATGCATGTAATATGTGTGACGAAATTCGTACATCTTTAAATTCGTACATCTTCAAATATCTAAACAGTTTTGTACGTCATGCATACAAAAGTACAAAACAAGACATTAGTGATGGTTTTCACAAAACACATACTATGGAAAACATTTAAAAGCAGTCATGGTAAACAACACTGTCCGACTACCTACCATTGTGCCGAATTTGGTATAACTCAGCCCTTATCCGATGACGCACCTCCGCCATTTCAACGTCCTCGTCCGTAGCCACGACGGCTTTGTCTAGGGCAGCCAAATCTGCGCGATCGGGAATATCGGCATACGTGTACTCCGCCGCATTTCTGACAGCAGCAATGGTCGCATCATCCTCGCAGTTTTTACGTATGAAATTGTGTAATGCCATAGATGCAGCCACCAACGGCACCTGGACTCTACGAAAGTCAAACTGAGGCATGTTGTGCAAGAATCTCCACCGCGATTTCCAAGCGCCAAATGTTCGCTCAATCACACTCCGCAATGAAGAGTGGGCACGGTTGAACAACTCATCACGATTCCTCAGCTTGTGACGTTGAAAGTGTGGTTGGTGATAGTGGCTGCCCTTATATGGTGCGAGAAATCCCTTCTTATTACTATATCTACTATCCACTAGATAATAGCGACCTGTGAATGTGTACATATTAATACATATTTGTTTCACGTGTGGGCAAACAAATTTAACAAGTTATGGCATTGAACAAATAAACTGTGCGTACGTACCATCCACTGCAGTTGGAAAATTATATTGCGGATCCTCGGTGACAATGTTTAAAATCCGGCTGTCATGCATGCTACCCTCCCAACCACATGACACAAAGATGAAACACATATTGAAATCACACACTGCCAAAATATTTTGAGTGTGGCAACCCTTTCGGCTAAAATACGGGGCTGCTTCCGACTCCTTTATGCACGCTGGCACGTGTGTCCCATCCAAGGCACCTAAGCAATCCTACACAATTCGAACAAGTAGGCAACGTATTAGTACCACGATGACATGCATTATAGCCGCGCAATTTTTTTAAGTCACATCTTCGTAGAATTTGCGAAAAAAAACTCGAATTGTTGCATTTTTTTTGCACCTTAAACGGCAAATACTGTGGTTGGGTCTGCAGGTGGGAATCCCTCATATGTTTGGAAATCTGTGGGCGGCCGACAGTGCGCGACGGTAAACTTTTTCATTGCTTTCAGAACATTTATGAAACTGGCGTGATATTGTTTCACCGGAGTGTTGGAATCTTTCTTGAAGCTCGCGGTTAGGCAAGTTTTTTAGAACATGAATGAAGATTGCAACACTCTCCTCAACGTGCAAGTCGTGCTCCCGCTCAGGTACATGCAACCTGAAGTCGTTCACTAGTGTGGCATATAAACGGGTAAAAACGACTTTGGGCATGCACAGTTCATAGCGAAATCTGCCATGGTGTCCATTATACATTTCCAAAATCCATGCCCTCCCCGTCAAGATGGATGTCCGACATGGAACTTTAAGCACGTGCGCCCTGTAGTAGTCGGAGGCAATTATGTATGCTTCAACATAATTATTATTCATTTCAGTCTGCCACTCAATTGCGAGCGCCGCGACATCATCACACGTTTCCTGCATCTGTGCATCGGTGTCATCGTCGCTTTCCATGCCTAAATCATATAACTTCAAATCAAATCAGAAGCATAAAATGACAGACTACTGCTCTGCCAAAATTAAACATGCAAAAATTAATTTTTGTTTGGTCAACTGTAAAGGCTGTCAATAACAGGAGTATTATGCATAAATAATCAATTTATTTCATTTGCATAAATTCCTCTGAGACCTTCTATTGTATTAAAGTAGTTCTGTTAGCAATGGTGAAATCGTGAAGACATATACTTGATGTATAAATAAGCAATTTTTTTTTCCTTTTTCTGACTAATAAGCAATACAGAAATTGCAATGAGATATACAAAAACACAATGTTAAATTAAAATATACAAAAATAATAACTTAAATTATTTTGTTTTTTTAGTACCTTACAACGGGTCTAACTTCCAGTTTTTAAGTTGAAGGCTTCAGTAAACTGGACATGTCTCTCTACAAGTAGCAACACTTTTGTTCAAATGGTCCAGTATAGCTGATTTACAACCACTGTTTACATAACTATGAAGCTGCAAATTGGAAGAGTGTAATCAGATTCATGGTTTATTGAAATTTAAAATTGTAAAATCCATAGCCAATACCTAACCAATGCACATCCATAATTAGAAAACCAGGCAAAGAAAAGGAATAGCATAACCATCTCCCTACCAATTCTCCTTACAAAGCATAGTTGAAAACATCATGTCATTAGCAAATACAAAACAAACATAAGCGCAAAGAAGTCCAACACAAAGCATTTTATTAAAATGCAGCCCTTTAGCAAATATAAGCAAAGTCCAACGCATAAGCGAAAAGAAGTCCAACACATAACGCATAAGAAGTCCAACAAGCATAGTTAGAAACGAAGTCCTTGATTGCGCAATATGCTTGCAAGAGTTGGAACTGCTGTCGTCCTCTTTTTGTCTTGTTGCTTCACTTGGAACCAGCCGATAATGCCTTCATCGGAAGGAATACTCATAACCATCTCCCTATTATTGGGCACCTCCATAAGGGAAATACCGAAATGGAGAAGTGGATTAGTTTGTTCAAGTCCTTGAATTTCATAAAGACGTCCGACAGCTTCGGCCATAGTGACACTTTGTCCACCGACAACATGGTTAACAGTGAGTTCCTTACTTTGTGTCTTCACTGTATTCAGCAAATCATCCATGCTTGTTGCCAATGCTTCTGCCCCGGTGATTCGCTTCTTCTGCACGGCTGTGACAGATGAGTGCCTCTTTTTGCTGCCACTACCGGATGCGGTAATGTTTGTAGATTTCATCAAGTTTGCAGTTTTAGAGGCACCCAATTCATTGTTGTCCGTAGAGAAGTCTGCACTATCAGACTCCTCTTTCACCTCCAGCAGGTTCCGCATCTCACCAGGCGTCCAAGCATTTTTTCCCGTTGCCGCAGCCCCCGTGAAAACACGACGCATTAATTCCTCATAATCCAACCTCTTTGTTCTAAACTTGCAACACTCTTTGTCAACCTGTAATACAATACAATTGGAGTACACCATTACCACAATGAATAACTTATGAATCTGGGAATCTGTGCATTATGAATGAACCAAAAAAATTTTAAACTACCAACATTCAACAAGTATTAATCAGGCATTATGAATAACAGATTTGTCTGGACAGTCCTACCCAATAACAGATCTGTCCAACTGCCTGGGCAATTCTATGATTACACATTGCTAACAGGTAATACAATTTTATTAAATCAAATCTGATACAATCTGTTATAATCTGTCCAGACAGGAATTATGTCCAAACAGGGATAATTTGTCCAGACATATTTTTGATATAATCTGTCCAGGAATATAATCTGTGCAGACATATTTTTGATATAATCTGTCCATGAATATAATCTGTGCAGACATATTTTTGATATAATCTGTCCAGACATATTTCTGATATAATCTGTCCAGGAACAATGTTCAATATAGCAATGTAAAAATAGTATTCATAATAGGGCATACGTAATGGAAGGTCTAATCCGCAGAAATGATCAAAATTGCATATACGCAATCCCACAAAGTGACAAATACGTAAAACCCAGTTGTTTCAACTCCTAAAAACTAACAAATTAATAAAACCCATAATTCAAAGTGCCAAAACCATCAATACTATTCTGAATTCTCAGATAACCCATTTACCAAATCCAGAAATGAGACAAACCAAGATGAGACAAGGCCTAAACCCCCCCACGCAGAACCAATAAAACCAACAAGGCGATGTAAGAGGGTTCTAGTGGACAAATAAGGGTTCATATAGTCTGGACAGGAAAATTTTACTTGACAGATTATTGTAACAGATTATTATTTTTTTTGGACAGATTATTATATGATAGCAAAGTGAAATTGTAATTCCCCCCCAAGCAGAACCAATAAAACCAACAAGGCGATGTAAGAGGGTTCTAGTGGATAGATAAAGGTTCATATAATCTGTCTAGGAAAATTTTACTGGACAGATTATTATAACAGATTATTATTATTTTTTTGACAGATTGTTATATGATAGCAAAGTGAAATTGTAATTCCCCCCCAAGCAGAACCAATAAAACCAACAAGGCGATGTAAGAGGGTTCTAGTGGACAAATAAGGGTTCATATAGTCTGGACAGGAAAATTTTACTGGACAGATTATTGTAACAGATTATTATTTTTTTGGACAGATTATTATATGATAGCAAAGTGAAATTGTAATTCCCAGGATCTTACAGAATAGGCTTCTAAAAATAGAAGCATATCTTGTCATCATTCATTACACATTGTTGGAGGTCATTACATCAATGACAGAAAATGGGGAAAGCGGTGAAACAGAAAAACACATGATAATAGATCCAATTGTGAAAGAAAAATGAAGGTAGAAATCTGAGACGGTCTAGGCAACCACAAAGTAAAAAGTGAAATCAACTCTTGACAATTATACATTTCAACATTACTAAGATGCTAAGGAAAGTTTTCAAGAAGATCAAACAAAGGTTTTAAAAAAAACACATGACATGTCATGCCAAAACTAGTGTAACCACAAAGTGAGCATCATTATATTCCCTCAATCAACATTGAACTGTACATATATATGGTACGAGGTTCCCGAAATTATGCAGTTTAGCACTTCAGATGTAAATAGTCTTGTTTGGTATGCCTACTAGAGCCGTATAATCAAATGTATTTGAATTCAACATGTCTCTATGAATACTTGAATTGCAGCAGATTCAATTTCAACGACATTATGAAACACAAAATTATGTAAACATGAGTTCAAGTCGTTACCTTCTCCATTGTAGCCCACCATTCATTTGACGCATTGATCAAGCTAGTCTCTTGGTCGAACCCAATTCCAGTTGGGCCTTTGCGGCTATCCATTAGCTTCGACCATGCATGTCACTCCGCCTTTAGTTGATTGTACCTATTTTTCAATTATTTCATGCTATGTGTCAACCCAGTCACTGCCTCAAAAGTCTTAGCCAAAGACCGATACCCATTCGGATTTATTGACATGTGCAGCCTGTTACCTGCGTCTATTTCCTTGACAACAAGTTCCAAGTAGATACGTGTGTTCTCCCAGTCCCAATTGGCTCTGTGATAAGGTTTTGGGCCCTTCCCTTTCCCGGAAGGGGTACGAGAGCCGGATCGAGTTGAAGCCATGCGACTATAGAACATTATAATTTGCATTACTTATTAGTTTGTTGTGTGCATTACTTGTAGTTGTGTTAACCATATGTTATTATGTTTGTCCAACACATATGCAATTGTAAAATGACACGGATAAGTAATATATTACATAAGGAAAGCATAGTACGGTAACAAGCAACACGCAGATACATATATCACATACGGAAACCATAGTACAGTAACCATCTAAATACTGTTACATATATTACATACGGAATAACAAGATAGCGACGATGATGGACAAAAAACATGTGACAACTTTAAGTACACGCAGACTCTATTCAATGTCAATCAAACGCGCCTCAAAACGACGAACATTGTCTCTGTCATTCTCAGCAGCCGTTTGTCAGCCATATTCGTCACACCACCCAATCCAATTGACACATGGCTGAGGTTAAAAAAAGTTATGAAATTATTAGTGACGGTTTGACAAGGTAATAATCCCAAACAAGGTGAAGGTACTTGTACTCACCACTCCACGAGGGCATTGGTAGTACGCACGTCCTGGATGGCGGACCGAGAAATCTTGACCACACAATGCCCGTACCCACAAGCACACATAGGGCCTGGTTGCGTTGTGGATTTTTGAAGACCATTTTTAATTATTTGTTTTTCATTGTTAGTACATGTAAACACTCAAGCCTAGGGCTTTATTTATATTTGAGTTAGAACTCATACTTTGTGTCCAAGTGTTGTCTTGGAAAGATGTAAGCCTGTAGGGCATTTTATTCGATGTTACATGTAATGCTTTTATTTAGTAATACTCTGATGAATGAATTAATAAATTGTTTCCTTTAATAAT